GACCAGCCTCGCGGCCACACCCCCCACACCTCTGGCCGCACGGGACGTCACCTTCTGTTGCAGAGCTTTCTTGATGAGCTCACATCCCTCCACGTATGTATAAATCCCACTGCAAAACATGACAAGACCTCCTCCTCGGTCTCTGAAAACGAGCCGGTAATATGACACAGCTGCCCGATAAATGTTTGATGTGGTATTTGCTGAAGAGGCAGCCTTTGATTGCTTTGCTTGTTACAGAGTGAAGCCGTCCTGCTCCCTGGGGGCAGGGCCGGCCTGGAGGGGGCCGTGGCTCCCGTGCATGTGTACACTCAGCACCTCTATCACTGAATGTCGTGGGGACAGGGCGCCCGCCAACGAGGACACCACCATCCTTGGAAGCCCACTCTCCCACCCCTGCTCTCTGGAGGGGGTCTCCGAACCCCAACCCTCCCTGCCAGCTGCTGGCTGCCTTCTGGGTATTTAGGTCCCAGGCCGGCAGGGGCTAGAGGCTGAAGGACCCCCGCCTGGTCTCTCCCAGAGCCTGCTGCCCAGCAAAACTCAGGGCTTGAAACAACCAAAATTCATTCTCTCAGTGCTGGAGGCCAGAACTCCTAAATCGAGGTGCGGGCAGGGCCACAGGGGGCTGGAGGGGAGAAGCCCTCCGGCCTCTCCCAGCTCCCGGTGGCCCCAGACGGTCCTGGGCTTGGCAGCCTCGCTCCAGCCTCTGCCCTGCCTCCATGTCCCTCCTCTGTCCCTGGGTCCCCTCTCTGTGTGTCTCTTACAAGGAAGGACACTGGCCATTGGATTTAAGGCTGACGGGGCAAGATCTTTAGTTTAATCACATCTGCAAAGACTTTTTGCCAAAAAGCTCATATTCACAAGTTCGGGGCACATCTTTTTGGGGTCACTGCTCACCGGCTACACCCCCCAGCCATGGGTTCACCTGAGGCTCCATGGCAGGCAGTGTCCTCAGACCTCGCTTTGAGAACCATGCTCCAGCTGCTCTGCACTGGCCCTGGGCTCTGACCACAGGCGCTGACCATGGCCAAGGGAGCCTCCCCTTCAGAGACCAGGATACAGGCTCAGGGCGAAGAAGCATGCTGAAAAGCACGCCGGCAGCCCAGACCCGAGTGCCTCAGGCCAGCCCTTAACCCTGCGCCTCCGTGCTCCCCTCCTGTCCCCGCACCCTGCCCTGCACTCACCTGCCAGCGACCGGGGTCCAGTGTCCATCTCCCCCCCTGACAGTGGCCAGTTCCCGCCTGGCCCGGGGGCGAGCATCACCAGGCATGCACAGAATGAATGAATGAGTGAATGAACTGACAACTCCTGGGCCCAGGCACCACTGGTTCAGGCCCCAGTTTCCTCATGGGTAAAGTTGGGGGGGGTGTGGGAGCGCACAAAGGTCTGAAAGGCTGGGTTCTCAGCACCCCGGGCCAGGTCTCAACCCCCCAGTGTTTTCGACCAGGAGGCAGCTCACGCTCCAGGAACTTATTCAAGCAACAGCTAGCTGATCCTCTTGTCTTTGCACAGGGACACCTGTCAGGGAGGATGGACCAGCCCACATGGCACATGGCACATGGCACATGGCATCTCTCCCACCAGGATTCCGAACTTGGGTCCCCGGAGCCACCGGAGGAGTCCTGGGGAGCTGGTGTGGCCCTCGTGAGCTGTAAACTGGAGCAGACAGGTGCCCCGGACGCACACAGCCCCCAACAGCTCTGTGAGCACCGCACGTGGCTGGGGCGCCGCCAGACACTCCCTGCACTGCGGAATCAGAATCGGGAAACACACACAGCCTGCCTCCGCCCTCACAGCCTCCAGGCGGGTGCGGGCAGAACCCCCCCCACGCAGACGAGGACGCTGAGACCCAGAGAGGCAGCTCCTCGTCTCCCATCCCTCAGTGCTGGACCCACTGAGGGCAGCGCTGTGCTGACAACGGTGAGGACGCCACCTTCTGAATCCTGACAGCCACCAGGAAGGAGCCACAACTGTGGCCCCGCTGTACCAGGGGGGCCGTGGAGCCCGGGGGGGCCGGACCCGGCATCCCACCCGCCCCCCAAGCCCGCCAGGTCACTGCCAGGTGCACGCCTGCCCCCGCAACACGCTGCCGAGGGCAGACTCCGCGCCGGGGAGCAGACGGGCCCACTGATCTCTGCCAGGCCATGGAGGCCGTGACCTGGACCACTCACAGCAGCACCGTGTGGAGACCCACCAACCGACATTCACGTGGAAGAGGACAGAGGGAGGGGGGACGGCAGGACAGGGCACGGATGGAAAGGCCGCAGGACAGATGGGTGGAGCACAGGTGGGGGAGGGGGATGGACACGTGGAAAGATGCTGGGTGGACGGACAGACGGGTGGACGGATGGATGGCCAGACACACAGCTGGATGGCTGGATGGACAAAAGGACATGCGGGCAGGTGAGGGGGGCTGTGTAGATGGAACGGAGCAAGTGTGGAGGGGACAATAACAAAACCCCATTAGCTCAGCCGAGCTCAGCTGGACGCCTGTTCTCTGTGGGCAAACTGACAGCACAGTCCAGTCCAGCCGACAAGGCCACCGAAGGTCCAGGTGTGGAGCAAAGACAGAAACCCAGCTGTGTTTTGTCTAGTGAATGCCCCCTGCCCGCCGTGGGAGCCCCAGCCGGCCGCTCAGCCCCGGCCCGGCGGGCCTCCGGCCTCTCCTGGCCGTCTCCAGCAAGAGCTAGCTCCCCGCTGCCCGGCACGAACTGGCCAGTTAAGATATTTTTAAACAAATGTGTCTCTTTCTGGCCCTCGTGCCCGCAGTGGAAGCAGCAGAGAGACGCGCCCACAGCGTTTCTTCGAAATTCTGTTCAGGGGCGGGTGACGGATTGAGAGGACGTGGCCTTCCTGGTGTCTGTGGTATAGACGGGCTCAGTCAAAGTCTACCGGCCACCGCCTGTCAGGCACGGAGCCCGCTTCTTCCCTCAGGCCTTCTGACAGCCCCACTCATAGATGGTGCCCAGGCTCAGCTGCAGGGGGTAACCACTCCGGTGTAGGGGAAGGATGCTCTGGGCCCTGGACCGTAGAGCAGTTTCAAAGGCTCCACAGTGCTGCCCAGGAGCGCCTCCTGGGGGCCAGTGTGGACAGGACACAACCTTAGTGCCGCCAAGGTCAGCGTTCGGTTCTCCCCTTTGCCCCAGGTCGGAGTCTGAAATGCGTCTTGTGGACTCCAAGGCGGGTGCCTTCCAGCGGCCCCGGGGAGGGTCTGTCCCTTGCCTTCCACATCTAAGACGACCCGCATTCCTCGGCTTGTGGCCACATCACTCCGACCTCAGCTCTGTCAGCTCATCTTCCTCAGACTTAAAATTACAGATGTAATCACATCTATAAAACCTTTATCCACAGAGAACCTTCGCCCTGTCACAGGGTCCAGAAGTTAGGAGGTGGACATATCTTTTTGGGGGGGTCCACCTTTCAGCCCACCACCCAGCCAGCTGCCCGTGGACATTTACAGAGTGTGGGGTCCTGCACTATCACGTTGCATGGTGCGCAGGCTCACAGCAGCCTTGAGTGGCCCGGGGAGCCTCCCCAGCCTGGAGGAGAAGAGACAGAGGTGCCAAGAGCATCCTGCCGAGACCGCCATGGGCTGGGGGCACCTTGGCCTCACCTTTCAGCTTGTCACAGAGAGGGTCTTGCCCTTTGCCATCTCTTCCTTCCTAGGCTGTGATGACCCCCAACAGGACACCCCTCAGTCTGGGTGGCCGGTTACGGCTGTGACAAGGACTCGCATCCGCACACACTGGGCTGGACGGCCCGGCAGGAACCGCGCCGACCGCCGCCCGCCCCGCCCCCACCGCCGGCACCAGGCTGGGGCTCTTAGGTTAAGTCCCCCGTTCCTCAGCCTCTGAGCAGTGTACCCGGGGCTTTTGTGGAAAGTCAGCTCGTTATGCACAGAGCAAGGGTTGTGAAAACGGTCACTTTTTAAAGGAGCACGTTGGGCTCCCATCCAGCTGGAGAAGAAACGAGGAGGGGATTCTTCAGGGCTGCGGCTTCGTCTGTGGGCTTCCAAAACAGAAGAGCAGCCGAAGCAGCCCCTTTTTGCGGACTGACAACACTGCAGGACGCCCGCACACGGAGGGCCCAGGAGTGTTTTGTGTCAGCGACGGTGGCACCCAGGATGTTAAATCGCCTGTGGAAACCTCGCCTGAACCGTGGACGAGGAGACTGTTCAATCGCGTTGCGCCACGGGGCAGCGGGAGCCTGTCTCCGGGCCGCGCCCCGCAGGACAGCAGCAGAGCGAAGCCCCCTCCGCAGTTCCACCAACCTCGCAAGGGCGCCCGCACCCACCCACCCCCAGGAGGAGTCCCTTCCGCCCTCCTGGGCCTCTCAGCCCCACCCTGCTGACCCACGTTCCCCAGAGACGTCAGGACGGGCGGGTCCTGTGCTTGCCCCCACCCCATCTGGAACCTGGTCTCCCGGACCCCAGCTCTGCGGGTCAGAGTCCACAACGGCTGGTCCACGGCGGGGGCTGCCCGCCCCCCACCCCGGGACTGTCAGGGACGAGAGGGCAGACACCCGGGGGCCGCGGGACTCTCTGAGGCTGAACTTCGCTAGAAAATCCAAGCGGGACTGAAACGGAGAGCGGGGAGAGTCCTGTCGGGGGCCTGCAGCCCCAAGCAGGCGGCCCCCGGCCCCGCCCATCGGCACAGACAAACTCGGCCCCTTCCTTGGAGGCCAAGCCCGGCTCTGAGCACGGAGAGTGCGTTCAGGTCGCAACGATCTGTGAAAGGACGCACTGGCCGATCTCATTACCTAAACGGAAGGAGGTCCTGCAGCCTCAGTAACACGCTCGCGAGCTCTCCCTGGTGTGAACGCGAGCCTCTGGCCCCCCCGCCCCTTCCAGCCGCCGCCAGCAGGCCACTGGACAGACACCCATTACTCTCAGGACTGAGACACAGGCAGCGTCTCTGCGCCAAGCCCCACTGTGACCGGGGGTGCCTGGAGGGCCGGCGCGGCAGCGCGCTCCGCAAAGCTCACCTGATGCCTTTGTTCTGGGCCAAGTTGTGAAGTGAGAGTCTGGACACCGCGGAGATGACCTGGGGGGAGAAGAAAAGATGCTGCTGTAATATCGCAAGAAGCCCGAAAGTCATCATAAAACCGTAACGCAGCGTTTCGTAGACGTCGGAAAACAGTTCACAGAACTCTTTTCATCTCGGGTTAAAAACAACCCACAGTGTAAGATGCTTCAGGCTAGACACCAGTTTTGTGCTTGTTGTGAGGAACGTGTCATTGTGGCCGTGTCGTCGTGGCGCCCTACTACTTGCTGAGGGCTGCGGCACTCCCGGTGCAGGGCCCCGGAGGGGAGCAGGCGGGGCTCACGCCCCCTTCTGCCAGCCCCCTGCACCTGCTGTTAAGCTCCTGCCGAGCCTTGTTCTCATCCAGGAAAGGGTCTGCCCCCCCCCAGGGCCACGAGCATGTCAGCAGACATCACACCGCGAAGCGTCCATCCCAGGCTGCTGCTCTGGAAGTTACCGTATGATTAATGACCACCTCTGTTCACGGCAGGTGCGCGTCCATTTCAGAGATGGGGAAACAGAGGCCTAGAGAGGCCAAGTGACTTGCCCCACATCACACAGCAGCTCGTGCACAGTGTAGACGCAAGCATCTGAGTGCAGGGCTCCCTGCTCTTCCAGGCCCTCCTCTCTATGGGTGACCATTTAATCAGAAGTTTGGCTCCCTGGGGGGGGGTCAGGCTATAGAAGGAAAACAGAAAACCCCACGTTCAGGCTGCATGACGGATCCCAGCAGGCCCTCCCCGGACTGACAGCCTTGGGGGGCTCAGGGAGGAGCAGCGGCCTGTCCCACTTCTGCTGCCCCTGCCCCTGCCCCAGCCCAGTCCCACCCCGTGTCCAGCCTCCCCCAGTCACACAGGACCTGTCCGTCTCCCAGCCTCAGAAGCCTCAACGCAGCCACCCACAGATCTTCAAAAGGACAGGCGGCACGCAGGGGGAGGCTCCACGGACGGCTGCTGGGACCCGGGAGGAGGCGAGGGCGGCGATGGATCCTGGAGCACCACACGCATGCGCGTGCGGGAGGCTGAATGAGACTCACTCCGGGAGGGACAGGGCGCCCGCCGGGCCAGATCCCACCCACCACGGAGACAGGTGCCAGCCTGGACTTTGAGAGTCCGCTGTGCGTGCAGGAGATCATCTTTGTGTGTGTGCGCGTGCGTGTCCGAGGACAAGGAACACGAACGTGGCCCACAATGACCACTTGCTAAGTTCGCCGCCACACTCTTCTGGGCACCGAGTGTCCCAGGAACTGAGCCCGACAGGCCTTGGACGCGCACCGTCCCGGCGAAGCCTCACACCCCTCCAAGGCCAGGACTGTGTGCGCGTGCGGGGAACGGGCAACTGAGGCCAGGCCACTTGCCCCAAACCCCCGCCCAGGACACAGGGCCCAGGCTTCTTTCAGGCTGCTCTCCTGACAGAAAGGTTTTCAAAGGGGGAGCAGAAAACTCCAAGCAGCGCAGAGGGGCCCTTCCTCAGCTGGCGGGACGCAGACTCAGCCACGACGCCGAGGGCTGTGTGCTGTCTTCCGGGGGGCTCTGCTCCAGGGGCCGGGACTCGCGGAAGCTACGAATCCGAGGAATGGCACGGTTCTCCTGTGTTTTCTCAGACGAGACTCAATCGGCTTATTGTGCAGCTGCCCAGCCGGGGCGCCCATACTTGAGTGCTCCAAGAGGCCTTTCATAAATAACGAGTAACTTGACTTCTGCCATTATTCTTGGCTTTTAAGGGCTCTAAATATTTAGGAAGGACAAAAATTAAAGCAATACTGCTTTATGGCCTTCTAGTTATTGGACAGAACGCTAGAAACGTTGGGGCTGAAGGGTTTGGCAACTGGAAAGCACACGAGCCAACCATCTCCTGTGCCTCCCATGGCAGACATCACCAATCAACTGCCACACTCCTCCCCAACGAGCCAGACACGGGCTTGGAAGCCTACCCGCAGAGTCTGCACAAGGCACCAGCCGCTGGGCAGCACTGGCACCGGGGCCGAGACCTGTTTGCCGACCTGGACTCAGTGCCAAGGCTGAGTTTCGCACCGGTGGAGCCCAAGACAGACAGGGGCTGCTGCAGGTGAGTGAGCAAGGTCAGGAGACAGGTCTCCGCGCCCCTGGTCCCAGCGGACAGAGCAGCTTCTCCAGCCTCAGCCCTGAGCTCTCCGCTGCTTCACTCCAGGCCACAACCTGTCACTGGCAGTTCGTGGAGGGCTCCGCTCCGGGTTCCCACGCCACACAGGGGCAGCTCCTTCCACAGGGATGGCCGCCCCAGCTCTGCCAGACGCGCCCTGTCCGTCGCGCCACCTGGGCTGCACGTCTCCTCCCGGCTGGTGTCTGCAGGGATGGAGACTCTGGGGCTGAGCACCACCCGACTCCGGCGACCCAAGCCCCAGGGCAGGGGCTGCTGGGAGCAGACGTGGGGCCCGAGAGTTGTGTGGGTCAGACGAGGGGTGGTGGCCCCCGTGAAACGTTGGGGAGCAGTGCGGCTCCCTGCAGGGGGGCGAAGCACCTCCCCGAGGCGCCTCTGGTGGGGGGTTGCCCCACCCCCAGGACACAGAGGAGCTGGGCTTCCCCGGAGACGTCGCTCTCCAGTGATGATCAAAACCCTTCCAGCCCACGGCCCTGCCCACCCCGCTGACAGCGCAAATGTCAAAGGATGACATTTTCCCACCTTTTATGTCCACTTCTCACGCATCCCTGACAATGAGTGAAAAGACACCCGCACCTGCCCCTCCTCCCCCGCCCTGCCCCCTCCTCCCTCCACACACGAACGGCTCAGAGACCCGCCGGGGCCCAGGCTGCCTCAGCGCCAGGCAAGCAAAGGAACGTGTGTGCAGGTTCGGGCAGGGGAGCACTGGGAGAAAGGTGTGCGTCTTCAGGGACCAGTCCCGCTGGGGCAGAAACGTGCACAGCCAGCTCCCCAAACCCGCGGCTGTCTGCGCTGTCCTCTCAGCTCCACCCCCGCCTCGACCATGACCTTTAATGTTGCATCTCCTTTAATACTCGGGGAAGGAGCAAGGAACAGAGTGACAGCCCAGAGGCCGGGAGGCTGGGGTGTGGGGTCTGCACCCTGGATTGCAGTCTTGGTCTGCGCTGACCCCGCGGCTCTCCACCTGGTCTGCATTCAGGAGACGCCGAGACGCCAGCGGCCAACCAGCGTCCTCACAGGCATGGGAGGGGCTCTGGCAGGCAGACCCCCAGGCCCACCGCAAAGCCTTCGACAGAGGCCAGGCGACTCGGCCTCAAGACAGGGTGCCCGGCTTCTCCTCACGCTCGACTGTCTTGTTCACGTTCAAAGCCCCTCCTTGTCCTGGGAAAGCTCTCCAAGGTGAGAGCTTTCCACTTCATCCCTCACGTGCTGGACGCAGCCATCGGCAGCGCACCCTTTCCGGCCCTGCTGGCGTGAGCCTGCCCTGGGACACGGGTCTGTGCAGACGGATTCCGGGGGCTCCTCCCCCAGGGGCCCCCAGCAGAGCTGTGTGCCGGGGGTGGGGCTGGGGACCAGAGCAGGTCTGGGCTGCAGCCGGGGGCCTGCTGGGCGGGGGTGGGACGAGCCCAGGCAGTCCTGGGTGGAAGTTGGCCTCCCCCAGCCCCCCGCCTGTGCCACGGGGAGCAGGCTGCCTCTCCCGTGTGCCTCTGCGGGGTTCGGTGGCAGCAGGTGCTCGGAACAGCTCCCAGAAGGGGGTTTTGCACAACCAGGGCAGCAAGCAGATGCAGCCTCGCCACCCCGCTTACTCGAAAAACACACAGGAAGCGGGAAGCGCCTGCTTCGAGCTCCAGGCTCACGTGCTTGTTAGGATTTAAAGATCAGGACGAGGGCTGGAAGGGCAGACAGAGACCAGAGGCGGAGGGAGAGGTGGAGGGGCAGAGAGCGAGGGAATCCTTGACTTTAAAAAGCAGCATCGTTCGGGGGTCTCCTGGGGAGGCAGGGAGGGTAGCCCAAGGCCTCTGGGCAGCTCTGCAGCCACCGCCCCTTTGCTGGAGCCTCTGCTGAAACCTGCGGGAAGCAGCTGGACAGCAGCCGTGCAGGGCTGGCCCCCGCGGGCGGAGGCAGCTCGGGGCTGCTGGCCCGGCCCACCCTCCTCTGCTCAGGTCCCTGGGCTGCGGGAGGCCCAGCCACGACCAGACAGCCACCTGCCCAGCAAGGGCTATAACTCAGGTGAGGGCTCACCCCCTGCCTCTCCTGGGCAGAGTTTGCAAACTGCAGGAGCTGACCCACTGGTGGGGCATTAACTCACAAAGGGTCCTAATGGCATTTTTTTTTAATCAAGTAAGACGGGATGGGAAGAAAAAGGAT